ACGTGAAGGCCCTTAAATTGAACAAGAGACCCTCAATACTGAGTTGCACACATCCCGGAACAATTAGCTGCACAAGTAACGCACAGTTTTGTTCATATATTATGTAAGGAAAACTTAAGAAACCCATATGAACTGCAACATGTATACAAATGTCAAATACAAATGAACTGAAAAAAGTGAATCATACAAATACAAAGATTTGGATGCAACATGAGCTGCAACAAGTGTCAAACATTTGATTGCATTACTTAATGCCATATTATTATAGCCAAGGGATAAATCGAAAAATTTTCAATATGAGAACAAATTTATTAAAGATTATAATATTTCAAAAAATGATTCACACCCAGACGTTTTATTAGTTAGTTGTATAACTCAACCAATAATATCACAAAAAAGAACCCTGTAATCTTTCTATATATTACAATAACAATATCCATGAAGCCCAATGTTTTCTTCTTATCTAATGGGGTAAAATTATTTAGCTAATTGAATTTTTTTTTTTAAAATAAAAGAAGAGAAGATGTATTAATGTGAGGTGCTAAGGGAGCATCACCCATTTACAAAAAATTTACAGGTCAATTAGTATATTTACAATATAATCTAAATTTTTAAAATATTCTAAATTATGTCCTAAAACAGTAGAACCAAAATAATAAAACAAGGGCAGCTAATCCCGCCCTTCCCCCTACCCCAACAAATGTATCTCCCTAAAGATATGACATAACAAAAAATCTAATCAAAACGCCCCCTAAAACTTAGCTAATTTTAACTATTTTTCTCACAAACCTATCAAGACGATGATTTTAAGCACTCATCCAACCTGATAATCCAACTGTAAATGATAGCCACGTATAAATACAAATTTGCAGTAAACATAATCAAACACAAAGTCCACAACATAAATGTAATCAAAATGTCTCCTATTTTACATATCCTGCTGATTCAGTTGTTCTTCTCAAACCTATCAAGAAAACAGCCTCCCACCTAATTTTCCAAGAAAAAAAGGCTTTAACGAAAGCCATATATGCCTACAAATTTTGCACCAATGTAATTAAATACAAACTCAGTATATAACCACAACAAAAAATCTAACAGAAGAGTCTCCTGATTTACCATGTTGCTGATTCAACTATTATACTCAAACCTAGAAAACAACTTTAAGCATCCATTCAATCTACTAACCCAAGAAACCTGTAAATAACAGCCATAAAAATACGTAGAAATTCGCAGTAACATAAAGTAAATAAGGACAACAAATGGTGCTGTAAATACCGAACCTTTTCTATTCTCGGATTGGATTCAAGCACAAGCTTCAACCCATCATCAGTTATGTGTATGCAATTTGTAAGATTCAAACATTGAAGATTTCCTTGAGCCCTGTTTGTCAAATTCAAAAGGGCATCATCTGTGATCCTCCAATTCAATGGCTGCTCAACATAGAAAGTCCTCCACAGAAGGGGATCACCTCTAACCGCATCACGCAGAGACCTGCAAACCCTTTCAACCACAAGAAGATCCTTCATACCCAGATAACCAATAGCAAGAAACAAAGCATCATGGGGCTTATCCCAAACAACCCCTTCATTCAAATCTTGATTTAAACTAGTATTATCATTCTTAGACCTATTGAAACCAGTGTGTCCCACTGATATTTCATCAACCACAAAACCAATGTCATCTGGTTGGAACCACATTGCACCATTACAGACCCAACTAAGACCTTTGGCGGATCTCTGATCATCCCCGGCCTCTTTATCAGATTCCTGTACCTTAAATCCATCCAAATCACTCTCTAAATCATTAAGCCACTGAGTCATGGCTGCCTTGAACGTAGATTTCACGTTCATCCCAAACGGATCCTCTACTAATCTATCAAGGATGTCATCTACAATAACATCATCATCGTCACTTTTTCCCTCAACAGAAATATCCTCCACATCCAAATTCACACACCCGAAACACCACGAATTCTCGAGATTTCCCCCCACTCCTCCTCGATTCCTCGTACACCGCAAAACAACAAAACACACCCAAAAAATTCGGAAGAAGAAGAAGTAGAAGATAAGCTCAATATGAAACACACCAGGTGTCAACTAAGAAAAAACCAGAGAACCAACCCATATCTACAAAGGGTGGCTCGTGAAAGAATTTTTTATTTCCTATACCTAGAATGAAGCTAAAGACTTGCCTTTCCCAAAGGATAAAAAAAAATCTACCTATATATATATATATATAGACAGAGAGCAGAAAAATCAAAAGTGCTAAAGATCTCAATCGAATATCGATAGAGTTTTAAGAAGACGAAGAAGAAGAAACCAGGGGCAGGGAAATCGAAAATGAAACAGGAAAAATATAAATGTATAAATATGGTGTGTTCTTCTTCAAGGATTCAATTCAGATTTTTATAAGAAAAAGGACCGAAACAGAGGAGAAAAAAGAAAACATAACGGGCGAATCCTGGATCACGATCATAATCCAGGTTTAATGGCGGTGATAAGAATTGCAGAGAGAAAAAACCGAGACGAAAAAGGAAATAGGAAACGGGTATATGCTCGTTCAACGATCGAATTGGAGATTCACGAGACAAGATTCAAAAATTTTGACTCACCGACCAATTCAATCTTAAGAAATTGAAGAAGAATTGTTGGAATTTAAGAAAAGAAAATTAGAGAACTTATAGAAATCTTGAATAAAAAATCTTTATCTGAATTAATAGAAAATAGATTGGCTAAAATATATAATAATTTCCTCAAATTTATTGG